ATCCTTTCGTTCTTTTTCTCTTTCATGGATGCTATGTTCTTTGGACGCTTGTTTAGACCAAGTTAATGGCCTTTTAGGCTTCCCCCATGAGAATAGGAGTTCACTTTTTATATAATAAGAATTATATGTCACGGGGGTAGGGGATCAGGATTTTAGAGATGCTTAGGTGGGGCATGGCCAAAAAAAGATTGGGAACCACTGGACTACATCCTGGTAGAGAAAGTGCCTGAGACCCTCCTGCCTTCTGAACACCTGTCTCCTTACCCCCAGGCTCCCTTCCCAGTGTTGATTCTGTGTTTCTGTGTGTGGCTGAGGGAGGTGGACACATGGAGGGAGTTAGCTCAGGGGAGCCTAGAATTTGGAAACCGTGAAGTGACATTTTGTGAACATGCAACTCATATAAACCAGTGGTGCTGGCTCTGGAAAAGCAGGCGTGAGGATAGGAACCCTGAGCTACACCGCTGTCCTCAATCCTATTTGCCACTCACTCTATTTTTTTCTTTTCTAGAGGATGGGGATTGCTGAGACCAGCTCAAAATTGAGCGAGGGTGGAAGAGAAGGGAGTGGGGAATATATCTGCCTTATGCTCCAAGGCTCCAGCTCCCTGGAGGAATGAATCCCAGTGTGAACAACTCTAGAGAAGGGGGCTTGGAGACAGATTCAGGAGGAGGGAACCTAGATGCTGAGACCATTGGCAGAGAATTTCTCTTTGGGATACTGCCAAGCTTTACACTCCCGAGATAATATCTGGATCTCAGCCCTGGGCAGCATCTCCCTCCCATCTGGGAATACGAAAGTGGCTATTCCATTTGAGGTTCCCTTTCTTTTTAGTCCTGGGCTTCAGAGTAGGATCTTTCTGGGAAACAGTTGCAGAAACTGCTTTGTGGATGGTCCCGTAGGTTCCCCTCTACAGATGCTTTGCTCTCTTCCATGTGTTTTGCTCTCTGCCCAGTTTTTAGGACTTGTTCCTTTGGTCTCATTCTAGGTAGCAGCCCTTGATAAGTTCTTGTCTTCTTTCTAACAGAATATTACCAAACCTGAGGGGGTCATGGGGACCCCTGGTACCCCTAGGCTACATACCAAGGCAGGTTAGGAACGTGTCACTAGGAAATAATTAATTTCCCTAAGGCTGCTCATATCCTTATTTTTATTCTCAGTATAGAGTTGAAACTGTGCTGTAATACTACTTCAGGCCCCCATGTTTACATTTAAAAGCTAGGATTGAGCAGTGGACTTGTGGGGTAAAGTTACAGAGATTGAGGCCTAGAATTGACTCCTCTCTTATCCCTGCCTCCTTTGTTATTCTCTTTCCTCCACTCTCCAGCAACATAGTAAGATAAGTATTGGGGCCAATTTTCAGATTACGGTCTTTCGGCTTAAGCTCTGTTGTCTCTGGTCTATGTGTGTGTGGTTATGGAGTTTGACAAAAGAGACTACCTCAAACATAGTGTGGTATGGAAAGAATATATCTAAACTTTGTCCCTGGTTGCTAGCACAGATCCTCAAAAAGCCTTAGGGAATTCTTGAATGATAGGAATGTCTTTGTTTTGCCAATGAACTGACTTATGGTGGGCCCTTAGATAGCTTTAGGATGTGGGCTGGTCACCTATTAGGAGCAACCACATGATTAGAGTTAGAACCTTAGACCACAGAGGGAAGGAGGGCTGGATTTGGGGCTCAATCGGGTGGCCATTGATTTAATCATGCATATATAAAGAATCCCCAATGAAAACTCAGGGTTTTGTGGAGCTTCCTGGTTGGTAAACACAGTGATATCCAGGGAGAGTGATTTGCCCTGAACCTATGGGAAAATGGCATGGAAGCTGTGTCTAAGATCCTTCCAGACCTTGTCCTGTGTGTAGCCTTTATAATAAAACTATAATGTGAAATATGGTACTTTTAGTAATTTCTGTTTTTCTAGTAAATTATCAAACCTGAGAGGATCATGGGAACTCCTGAATCAGAAGCATGGGCTATTGTCCCCAAGACTTGTAACTGGCATCTTACCTGAAATGGGGGAAGTATTAAGGACTGCCTTACATCTGTGGAGTCTAATGCTAACTCTAGGTAGTTGGTGCCAAAGAATTGATGTCATTCTTTTAGCAGCCACCACTGGATTAATATCTGTAAACCTACCTCTGATCCTATGCATCATACATAAATCAGTTAAAATGAAGGAGGCAGAGCCCAGCAGTATATTATGGGGGGCAGCATATGTTTTTGTGACACATGCCTGCACTTAGATGATTTTTAAAGTTCTGTATAATTTATTTTTCTTATCAGAACTCTCTCAGCCTAGAATTCCTGTTGGGGTCATGCGCTTAAATTTTTGGGAGCTTCACATCGTGGTCTTGCTGGATACCTCTTAGTCCCACTTTCATGGGAAGCAGATACTTAAGCAAGTCACACCTGTGGAATTTTTTAGTCTCAGCCCAAGGGCAGGGTAAGTAGTGTGTGTGTGTGTGTGTGTGTGTGTCCAAGAATGAAGATGATTATATTCTGATCACTCCTTTTTTTCTGGGGTATAGTTAAAGTAAAAAGCTCACCACTCACATGGCCCTTTTGTTTCTGCTCTCTTCATGGATAAATATTACTTGGATCTCATGTAATAAGATAATAAGGGTCCGTTCAAATGTCACTTGAGCCCTGGCCGATGTTGCACATTGGAGTGTTGCCCTGTATACCGAAAGGTCACAGGTTCGATTCTGGTCAGGGCACATACCCAGGTTCTGGGTTCAGTCCCTGGTTGTGGCACTTATGTGAGGCAACTGATCAATGTTTTTCTCTCATTTTGCTGTCTCTCTCTCTCACCTTCACTCTTTGTCTCTCTGTAGAATCAATGAAAAGCATATGCCTGGGTGAGGATTTTTTTTAAAAAGTCAGTTGACCCACCTGGAGACAAAATTAGAGTGGATTTGCCATCTCTCCAATCATAAATGAAAGAAAGGTATTTTCTTATAGCACAGCTGGACTCAGCACCCACTGACACTCTCTGTCCCCAGTTTCAAAAGCGCAACCTTCAATGGGATCTCATTTATAAAATACTACAGGGTTCTCTATGCAGGGTTTCAAGGCCCTCACCTTTCCATACAATTCTACCTTTTCATCCCCATCTCCCAACACTTTCTTCCAAGTCAGAGTCAGGACTAGAATAAGGTAAGGACACAGTTTGAGGAGGCACTCACTCTCAGGTGCCTTCCCCTAATCCAAACCCTGCTCCACTTTGCCTGCACTCAAGCCACATTGGGCTGTTATTTCCCAACCCAATTGTACTCTGTGCTTTACTACTTCTGTGCCTTTCCCCACTGTTCACTCAATCATCACTACTCTCGCAATCCTTTCTCTGCCTAGGGAAACATTTATCCTTTCTGAAGTCTTTCTGATACCCTCACCTTTACTGTTTGCCCCTTGGTAGGAAGTAACTCCTCTGCACAGGTTTTTATTTGCAATTGTTTCTTTATGCTATGTACTGGAGTCTTTTTTAATGAATAAGACGGAATTCGGATAGAAGTAACATAGAGGAAGAAACTTGGACTCTGGAAGTGTGAATCAAACCCATCTGTCTGACTGCAACACCTGAGCCTTTTGTTACTTATAATAGTAATGTTGATATATTGAGTGCTTGGTTTGTACCAGATACTATTCTAAGGGTTCTAACTGTATTAACTTATTTAATCCTCAAAACAAACATATGGAGTATATGCTGCTGCTGCTTTCCCCATTTTACATATGAGGAAGCTGAGGCACAGATTGGTTAAGTAACTTGGCCGAGCTCACTGAGCTGTTTAACAGAAGAGGTGAGATTCAAACTTTGTAGTTTGAGTCTGGAGTTGGTGTACATTACCACTATGCTGTATCCCTCTAGTGCTGATTATCACTAAAAGCTGCCATCATCACTGTCACTATCTTCATCATCAGATTTTCCTTACGTTACCAAAAAGGGGTTCTGGCCCTTAGAGGGTCTGACTAGGGCAGACCCACTGTGTGGGTTCTTGACCTCATGCAGGAAAAAATTCACAACACAAGTCCAGGTGAATTTTAGAGGACATTTACTAATCTGGGGACAGGGAAAATAATAAAGGGCTGGGAAATGAGCCTAGGCTGGTCTGCTTTGGCTTACTAATAAGTCAGAGAAAAGGGGGGCTTGGGGTCAGGTTCAGGGGGTTCACCTCGGAATGAACTGCCGTTGTCCATTGCTGCCCTGGATGCAAGTCTCATGGGGACCCTTAGAGTTTAGGAGATATGTGCCTGTGGGAGAAGAAGGGAGGGAATAAGAGGGGAAAGGGAATGGCACGGGCTGCTTCCAGGGGGAGAGGGGGAGTGCTGGGTCCTTTGGGGGCTTTTATCTCTTTCTTGAAGGCAGGAATCTTAGGGGAGGTCTCAGCAGAATACTCATCAGTTTTCTAGGTGTGCTCCTTCAGGGTTACGGTCTCCACTGATTGGTCAGTGTCAGGGCAGGGTCCTTAGTCATTGCAGCTGGTCCTGGTGTCACCTACCTGGTTTTGCTGCTTTTCTGGGCCTGGAGTTCAAATACAACTGAGCCCTAGATGTTATCTCTAGGGAGATGACCTTCTGTATCTGCTATAAATTGCTCTGCCAGTTTGTTCAGTTTCCCTGTTCCACTTGTTCTGATTTACTAGCCTGTCTCACAGCTTATAGCAAAGTACTCTATTCATCATAAAGAAACTTAAACCTGTGTATAGTTAGACCTCCTGTCCCCTACCCCCTTCTTCCTGTGTATCAGCCTATTCCAGCTTTCCCTTCCTTCCCAACATAATGGTCAATCGTAGTCCATCATTTTTACTGTGCTTCTACCTTATCATATATTGTAGTGCCTGGTTCCACTGTCCTAGCAAAATCCAAGCTCTTGATAAATCCCAAATATCCACCTGTTTTTATACCTGTGTTGCTTAGTGCAGTATGCCTGGGGAAAGTTAACCAAACCTTTCTGACTATTGACACTATGAATTTACCTTTCTCAAACTCAGTACAGCCCTCTGAATTGAACACAGATAACTCTGATATCTTTACATTATGGACATTTCATAAGGATGCACTTTCACACAATGACTCCAAATTGAAACCAGGCTTACCTATGAGCTCAAGTATTTAATGTATCTCTGAACCCCCCTAGATAGGTAAGGGTTTAGGTTTTCTGCCCAAGGCTTTCCTTTTATATCTAGAATAAAAGCCAGTCGCAGCTGTCATACCTCTAGCAATTATTAGGCAAGGCATTCAGAATCTACACTTCTCCTTTCACATGGAAACATGAGTTCTGCCCCTGGTTTTAAGAGGTAGGTGCTCACTGACGAAAAAAGTCAGGAACTATTATTTACTGAAGAGTTCTTCTATGCCTAAGCATACATATCATTTAAGATTGTTCCATTTTCATATAACAAATAACTGAACTAAAAGTAAATAAGAAAATTTATGATTCAGATATTGGATGTACTGAAGCCTCGATGGGTGTTTGATTCAGCTAAGGACTCGGGGTTTTTTCCATCTTCTTCTACCATTCACAGTATTAGCTTCCATCTGAAGGCTGGAAGCTTGATGGCTGCAATGATTCTAGGAGTCAAGCAACTTCCTAAGAAAAGAAGACAATTTTTTCCTGATTGCCTTTTCTTATGAGTGAGGACACTTTATTTCGTCCTTCTGCAGTCTTCTCCTAATGTCTCATTGAGGAGAGTTGGGGTTAAATCATCACCCTTCCTAAACCAGAGAGCACCAAGGGAATGGATTACCCCTATACAATGCAGATTCAACCCTGGAACTGCGATCAGCCTCCCTGAGACACATGACTACAAGGAGAAGGGCGGCATACTTATGCAAAAATGACGTTCTTTTAGTAAGGAGTTGGTTATGGTAGGCAAAACAGTGTATTACAGAGCATTGAGGTTATAGTAATAAAGAGCACAGGGCAATGTCTTAGCAATTAAGACCACTAAAAGCCACCATGGAGTTATCATCTACTTTTCCCTACTTACCCCAGCTTACCCTTTAATATGACTAGATGACATTTTAAAAAGGAACTAGACAGACCTGATACGTGCAGGTATTTCAGAATATCAGATGGTTTCTCATTTTTCAGATTGGAAGTTCAGCTGAAAAGAATAGGACAAAAGCTGTTCACTGGCCTTTAGCTACAGGGTTAAAATCCATAGGCCAGCTTTCCAATGTCAGTTGTCATGTAGATAGTTTGGAAGTCATTGCTTTTGTACTGAAAACCAGAAAAATAAAAAAGCTGAACAAACTGAGAATCAATGACTTATCTTAGACCCATAAGAAAACATGTCACAGGGCAAATGACCACCCCGAATTCTGGAGAAAAGACAAATCTGGGGAGTCATAATCTATCTGTCCTTACATAGAGCACAAACAGCTAGACATAAACAGGGCAGAAGACTTAAAGAGTAAATTTGACAAATTGCTGAAGACTGAGTGTGGAATAGTATGAGAGTGAGGAACCCAACCTGCAGTTTTAGAGGTTTCATGGTCTTTAAATCCAGGAACTTTAGCAGGTTCTTACAATGAAGATCCCAGAGAGATCTTATGGCTCTGGCAGTGGGAGGGGAAGTGTGCTCCTGTGAAATAACCCAGAGCCTTCTCCATGACAAAGACCTACTCTGCAGTGGAAATACTTTCCCAGAGTGTTATCTCTGTTAAAGGAAAGGCATTCCTCTTTTTTTTAAAAAAAATGTATATATATATTTTTATTATTGATTTTTTTACAGAGAGGAGGGGAGAGGGATAGAGAGTTAGAAACATCCATGGGAGAGAAACATGGATCAGCTGCCTCCTGCACATCCCCCACTAGGGATATGCCCGCAACTGCGGTACTTGCCTTTGACCGGAATCGAACCCGGGACCCCTGAGTCCACAGGCCAATGCTCTATCCACTGAGCCAAACCAGTCAGGGTGAAAGGCATTCCTCTTAACCACCCACTCTAGTCTTCCATTTTCATGTCAAAGGGAGAAAGAAGCTAGGAAATATTTGTGAAGGACTCAGCCTAGGGACCCAGGCCCACAAAGGACTAGCATTTAATTGTAAGATTATAGAACATTTCACACATTTTTACCATGTCACAAGTGCCCAGTATAATAGGAGTGGAGTACAGCTAAAGGAGCTATAATGTGCATAGATTCTGCAAGGAGTAATTAGGGAAGCCCAAAGATAAGGAAGACAAAAATAAGGACACTAGAGGAATCTGAACACCCTCACCTACAGCTACAGCAAACATTACGCACAGCTCAACTGCTAACCAGCCTAACATAAAACTTCTTGCTAAGGGTCTATTCACCCAATTTCAGACTGTGTAATTATCAGGGAATTAAAAATATGTATGGCTCTCTTCCCCCCTCACAGCCCGCAGTCCCCACAGCCCCTCCTCTCCCATCGCGTCTGGAAGGATGGCTGGTGGGATGGAGGAGTCGGAGGTGGGCAGACAGAGCTGT